GGGTTTTGCTGTTGTTGCGGGCGTGACGAGTGAGCTTTCATGATATATCGTGAGCTAAGCAGGGGGAGAGAAGGATCGGGGTTAGGAGAGGTGTATTTAACAATACTAGTGCTAGGATCGGGACCCGTAGGTGGGTATTGGGAAACACTATATGAGACCAGCTTCTACAATAGGTTGCCCCCCCCCCCATCGTCTCACCTACGATCCGGGATCGCCGTCGATAGTTTTTGCGACCGATGCGCTGGGCCGGGTGAATGATCTCAGGCCAGAAAAAGCCATGGACTCGCGCTGTACTACCGAGGGCGGCGGCAACATGATCGTAGCCAGGGGCAATGCAAACAAACACTATTCCCAGTGTACTCGAGTATCCAACAAAACACATTACAACAAGGAATCGCAAGGATGACCGTAACTCAACTCAGCGGTGCAATCCTTCCTACACACTATTCCCCAATCTCATCCCCCCATCCACCCCCCGCCTCACTCCACCTCGTCCAGTTCCCCCTCTGCAACAACCCTACAAGGCACAATCTCTCAGACGTAACCCCCTCTCCAGGGACCAAAACCCTGAGCCTCCGGCCTCTCCACAAAACACTCCCGAGTCCTGCCGTTATGAAGAAGCCCACTCCAACCCATATCGCTACACCGTTCCTTGCACCAATGGTTTGCTCAACAAAGCCGGAGACTCCAACACCCAAGGCAGCTAGAATCAGTGAGAGTGAATGAAATACCGCCATACCCGCGCTAATCTCCGGATGCAATATCATGAATCCTGCAGCTCCTGGGTCCTCAAGCACAACAGGTCTACTAGTTCCATGTGGTCGTCCCCCCTAGCTTGCACCGTTTAAAACACTACCAGATCGAGCAAGCCTGGCCGCTAGTAGGTCACTAAGGTCCCAATTATCCTATAATATGAGGTGGCATTCGGCAAGAGCGAGTGTTCCGGAGAAAAATGCAACAGCAGCGAAGGCTACCGGTATCATAAAGCGCGCCGAAGGGCCAGTAACAGATATAGTAAAATCTAAACTTGATGTGGGAAGGAGTAGGGTAGAAAAGAAAAGTGAGCCACGATAGCGATGTTGACCCTTGCTGGAATGGGCCGTTGCTGAGCGTCCTGCATGACCGGCAAGACCCCGAAAGTTACAAAGGGAGAAATCTGAGAGTTGGAATGGTATTGAAAGAAGAGAGGCAATAGGGAGGGCAAGGACGGCCAAGCCAACATCGATTGATTTAAATTTGTAGTTATAGGAGACAAGGCGCACAAAGAGCTTCTGGGGGTTAGCAGGTATTCACAAACGACGGGTTCCACATATTAACATTCATGATCACAGTCACTTGTCCCATAACCCAGGCCGTGTATCCCCCCAGAATGAGAAATCCGGCTTGTCCGCACATCCTCCCTATCATTTTCAATCCGGCCCAAACTTCCCACCACCACCATTGAGGTGGTTTCCCAAATATCACCAATGCCAAGGAAGGCCACAAAAAAAAACCATGCCCAAATACCCAACCACACCCCTACCCTAGCACCCCCCTCACCTCCAGGCACTAGGTGATATTGGTCCAACCCGGCAGCATGTCCCAGTGTCTGGCCCAAACATATCAAGAATCGTCGCGGAAGAAGTTAGGCCAGTAAATCCCATGATAATGCCGGATATGCTTCTGAAAACAGGCGAGCGGCCACAAATGGTAGCATAGATTCGCCCGCACGTTGTCCAAGAGTTGTATGTGGTGGCAGTGAAAGCGCCTACGAAAGCTATAAAGGTGCCATAAGTGCCAAAGATACCAGCATATATAGCTTCGTACCATGCAAAAGGGGAAGCGGCCAGAAAACCAACCCCGATAAGGCTACACCGACAAGGAAACAAGCATTTCCTAGTGCGACAATATTCCTGCTCGTTTGAAGACTCCCTTATATAGCTGCTGCCTCACCAAAGTAGCACCCCACTACGAACCCCAAAAGCCCTGGAATTAAGCAAGCAATTGCCGCCGCAATTCTCTTTTTTCGTAGGCTCCAATCCCACCCCCCTGTATACAGATTACTACAGGCTGACTCCTCGATCTGGCCGTCCAGTCCGCTGTCCGCAAAACCTGTATCTCTCCGGCTTTCGAGTGTCCCGGGACGCCCCTCGAGCGGCCCAACCACCCCTGGTACATGTGGCCTTCCGTCCGCGGGGCCTACATCCCAAGAAGGCCGACTTTCTCTACAAATAAATTGAAAATGTACTTTGCGATGCACATCTCGATCTCGAGCAGCTCGGAGGGCTCCAGTATCCGGTTCCGGATACGGATCTCCTTCCGTTCTTTGCCTATATCCTCCTTGATAATCGACAAACCCGCTATCGTGGTTGCGAGCAACGACGGTGCTCGTGTTGGTGGTTTCTGTTGTTTCGAGAGCTTCAGTGGGCAGTGTGAGGATTCCGTCACTGCCCAAGTTCATTAGCAATTTGAAAGACCCCGAGCCACTGCCATGTCCGGCGCTTGTTGCGGGTGTAGCGACGGGACTCCTTGCGCTTCCACCTCGGACTAGACCGGCATCTCTTTTATTCAGAACAGCCCGTGAATGAGCTACCGTCCTGCCTACCAATCTAAGCGCCTGCCAAAACATATGATACCTTCCAGGTCGCAAATTACCCGGTGCAAAGAGCCGGCAGATTGTGGAATAACGGTCTAATTTGCAACCCCAGCCGGGGCACATTCCGCAAACCTAATGGACACTTCAGGGCTTGGGTCTTGCCGCCCTAGCTCACTACTATTTGGCACTCGGCATAAGGATCGGCGGGCCCTATCAGGGGATGTTATGTCAGCGGTCTCTTCCTCAACCCCAGAGTCTGAACGTGCTGCTGAAGGTGGGCATGGTGAGTTATAACTTTAGGAACGAAACCATCTCTCCTGGGAATCCCTTAAAGCCATGACCCGTAGCGATTTTTCTCCAATAGTGGATCGGGAATCCTCTAGGGAGGAAACCCCCTCCAGGACAACCCCTAGAACAATACTGTTTGCATACCCATAATCATCAGACCTTAAGGATTCAGCATCAGCCCCCGTACCGGTAGCAGTAGTATTAGCTCCCTCCTTGCACCACGCCTCTGGAGTCGGTTGAGTAATATCCATGAGGGGCTGCGGTGTTCCGATCGAGTTGGGCGGGGTCTTTACTGGGTTTGCGTTCTCCCGAAGAACCAATTTACGCGCAAAAAGGCCAGGGGTGAGGTGCATGGAGTGCCGGGAACCAGAGGTGCCATCGTAAACAACAGCCACAATAGGGTCCGCTGTCGAAATCGGCTCAGAAGGAGGTCTATCAAGAATCCTTTTCCGAATCCCCTCAGGATAGAGCCCCCCATCAGTAATCTGGGGGTCTTCTTCGGCATCATCACTCGACGAATCCCCTAAATCATCATCATTCTGTGCTCGAAAGGCTTCACCAGGACAGGAAACTATATCCAGCCCCCGTCCGTTCAAATACCCCGTGTGTACGTTGGGCCGAGAAATTTGTGAATAAGAAGCTGACATTGGGATATTATTCACGAAAGCCGAATCGGGCACAGAGCGCTGTGAAATACTCCCGAAAGCAAGAAATCCAGAGGATGATGAATTCAACACGGCATTCGCCACCAAGCCTTGCCGACCTACACCACTCCGAGACACACCATCACCATAATATGAGGAAGTGCCCGTGGCATCACCAGGAGAATTCACAAGGGTGACCTCCGGTCGGGAATCACCTAATGCACGCATCCGGGTGAACAGCGTAGAAGTAGACCCTTCAATCGAGTCTGGGACTTGAGGATCGCACCTACAGATACCAAACGGGGTACGGCTGTCATTAGAGGAGACACCAAGATCTGTATCAGAGCCCCCAGCGCATTCCAGAGTGGGAGAGGGGAGGGGAGGGGGGATTGTGAGCAGAGGTGGGAGGAGAGGATGGAAATAAGGTAGCTGGGGGAAAGGGGGGATGAGGTGAGATGAGAGAATATAGGGGTGAAGAAGGAGGGGCGGTATAAGCGAGTAGGAAGAGTAAAAGGGTCCTGTCAATGATGGATTCCACCAAATAGTTCACCATACCGTATCGATAAAAGTCATCACGTGCTGTTCCGACTCGGCCAATGATGGTAAATTAGCCGTGCCTCACGGCAGTCAGTCAGCCATGGTCTCGATAAAAGGGAGAAACTTGAGCTTATCAATCCAATCACAACACGTGAACCGGTGTAGCAACCGCGAGCCGCTTCCGGCGATCGCCAAGTCGAATGGGCTTTTGGTCTGCTGCGGCTCGGGCTTTGGCTCGTTTCCTTCTCCCATCCACTCTATGAGTAACTTACTTTCTGCCCCCTCCGGACCTTTGTCCCATCCAGTTCCACCCACGAGAGAAGGCTACATTTGCTGGGGCCAAAAAGAGAAAGAAGGAAAAAGGAAAAAGGGGAAAAAAAAAAGACAGAAGTGAAGAGAGGGTGAAAGAGAAATCAAGAACTTTAACTACCGGTACCGAGTAGGCTACTTTGCTACTTTGCGGTTAATCTATTGCTCCCCACCTCCCTTCCCCTACATAAGCCAGATAGTCTGGCCCCCGGAATACGAAGTCTCGAATCGAAACAGGCTTCGTCGGTCAATACTGTACCACCGCCGCTCTCACCCGACCGTTTACACGACCCGTTTCTCTTACCCTTTGGATTTGTTCTTATCGTGCTCCCTCTTGGACCGAGACGTATCGCTATTGGATCAATTTTCGCGTTAGCCTACCGCTGCACTTCTGCAGTTTCCCGCAGGGAGCCCCTCTCCCCTCTCGTCTTCTCCTGTCTCCCTCCCTTCAATACTCGTACTGCGCTCTACTGTTCTCTTCCCCCCTCTCCAATGTTTGTTCCCTCGCTTCGGCTATCCGCTTACGAACTCCACTCAATTATCATACTAACCCACAAGACAAGAGCTTACCCCCCCCCCCCAATCCCCGCCAGAGAACCCGACCGCAGCTGCAATCCTCCCCCCCCCCACAAATCACCATAGTCACTACAATAATTGAGTTTTCCCCTCCCAATCACTGCCACCATCCCAGCACCCCTCATGACTATCGAGAGACCTAGGAAGGCTCGGTTTTTGTTATGTCTGCCCGACGAATTGCTCGTTGAGATAATCTCCCGTAAGCCCTTTCCCGATACCCTTCCTATTGACTGCTGACCCAGAAAGACCTACCCCCGAAGGACGTTATTCCGCTCCACGCAACCTGTCATCGCCTACGAACCCTAACTCGACTTGACCCGACTCTCTGGCGATCGCTCTGTTCGTACCGCGAAGGCTCGTCTCTCACCGTACTAACTCCCCCTCGAGCACCCCTCTCCGATGTAGAATGTGCCACCATAGATTGGTACACTGAATACAGATTCCGTAATGCCCCTATGAGGATGCGCTGGGTTGGGACTGGCTCCCCGACTATGGGAAACGAGGTGAAGGGTATCGGGGCATTCCCATCGAGGGGCGGGAGTGTTGAGGATGACATGATCGTTTCGGCATCATCTGACGGAAGCGTCAAGATCTGGAGTTTACAGGATGATTACGCTGCCAAGGAAGTTGGAAAATCTGAAAGGGGGTTGATATTTTCGCAAAAGAAGAGAGCGCCAGCCCTTGAGGATCAACAGAAGAAGATACGAGAAGCGGGGATCGTGGATGGTGTTTCCATCGATGCAACGGCGGGCAGGATATGGGTTGCTGGAGAGGATGGCTTGGTTGAGATCGTAAGTGCTACTGGACCCAATATCGTAATCTCCTATCGCTGACTTGGTTAGGATTTGATATCTCTGAAAAGAATCTCAACCCACCGCTTCCCATTCGCTATCATGTCGCTTTCTCAAACCTCCTCCCCATACCCCTTGACAATAGGCACTACCCTAACCCTACATATGCACGATTCCAGGGTGTCGCCAAATTCTCCCCTACCTGCCCACGCCCATCTCTTTCAGCCCGGACCCTTATCCATCCTTCACTCCGGCTCAAGTATAAAGGTAGCCGGCCGATTCCCGTCACTATTGTCATACGACCGTCGAGCTTGGCCAAAGCTCACCTCAACAATCCATTCCGGCGCCCGGCTCTGCGGGTTAACAACTATTGGTACTTCGGGTGTTGCCGCATGCGGAGAATACAATGGTAAAGGAACACTAGAGATATATCCCGGTCCAGGATCACTATCCCCTGTTGTTAAAAACCGGCAAACTGCCGCCAGAAGCAAAATCCTCACTGTAGCGTCACACGGGAGTTACCTGGTTACAGGTAATGCAGAGGGGTGTATAAGCTTTTTCGAAAGGGATGCCAGAACAGTGATTCGTGAGCATTGGGTTGAGGGTGGGGGGAGAACCTCCTCTGGTATATGGAATGTGGGTGAGGATGGGGGTGATGTCATTCGGCGGGTGAAGCCCCTGCGGGGCGGGGATGGAAAGATATTGGTATGGGCAGGTGATAGGCTTGGGCTGTTGGGCATTGGAAAGGAGCAACAAGAGATCTCAGAAGAGGCGGTGTGCCCCGAAGGTGAGGAGGAGGAGTACTTGATGAAGATGAGAGAGTTGTTGAGACGGCAGGGTGAGGAAGTTAGGATCTTGGAAGGTATGGGGCTGTAGTGCGTATAGATTAACATTACTTCAGAGAATAGGGTAGTCTCCCGGACCTCTACCTACTGACTCTAGGGAGCAGCGCTCGGGGGCGTGGAAGGCATTGTACCACTAATTTCAGCATCTGGGTGGCATCATAAATACCGATTCCGCATATTTTTTTTTATTTTTTTTAAGTCTAGCAGATTGATGGAGATACAAGGCCATGGCTAACCCATCATATTCAGTCTAAGTTACGGTGTGAAGGCCCAAAGTACTAACAAAAGAAACACTATCCAATCCTATAGTTCCTCTGCTGTAGGTCCAACCACACATGCTTCCCAAAACACCAAAAGCAGGCAGAATACGAAATACCCCCAATAGATGCCAACAAAGGAAAGAAACTGTAAAAACGACTGTCACATTTTCGCCATTGGCCCCAGACTTAAGATAGAGCAGTTAAAAACCTAAAAATGGTAACACTGGTATCATACTTTACGCCTTTGAAGCCTTAAATTCCAGCCAACAGGAACGATGAAACTATGTGCCTTAAGGTTTCACCCCATAATTACCACTCCAAACAGGAAGGCGAAAAGTGGGATACGGGAAATAGAGGTGAAAGAGCTTGCAAATTCCGCAAATTATCCTCACATCTTTATTCATTGGGCGTCCAAACGGTCAAATTCGTAGGCAGGTGCACTATTAAGGCCAGATTTGGCTACAGTTAGCTAAACTTGGGCAGAAAATCAGATTTTTCTCTTTTCTCAGCGCCTAAGCGACTCAGAACCCCCAGCAAGTTTCAATATTGCAAATCACGAAGCTCAGGCGGTTCCAGGACAGGTTTAGCGTGCCTGGCTACGGATTCGACCAGCCCAACGGACAACCATCCTGTGAATCTCCGAAACCCCCATGAAACGTTCGCAGCAGCCAGCCACTTGCGTATCTTAAAACTGCGCTCGAGTGCAGTATCATACGAGTAGGTTTAGGCAATGCACTACCAACCCGAAAACAAGCACCATGATCCACCCAACCCGTGCTCAAGTCCACATGCCCCGGATATAAATCCCAAGCGCCCAATCGGCTCAGAAAATTTGGACAATCTGCGGAGGGGTGGGGGGATAAAACCTCCCCAACCGAATGTTTGAGCAGGATCCCACACACACATACATCATGAGTCGATCCTGAGACTACCGCATTTCTCTCTCTCTATCTCTCTCTTGATGACCACCAGCAGCAACCACTTCCATAAGCATTGTGGAAACCCCAGAGACACAAGTATTAACTCGAAAAGTTTTAGCCAACTCGAGACAAGGGATTCAGTCAAGTATAACTACAACTGCCTCATTTACAACATTTCCTACCCCCCCGGGGAAACCTTCGGCGTCCGCCTTTTGAGCGAGAGCGGGGTGGTGAACGGTCTAGTTATGAGTCGAGCAGAAGGTATTATAGTGCATTTATCCTCAGCACTACCGGCTCAAATTGGACCACTTGCAAGGTGCCTTGCGACACCCCAATTCCCCTCCCCATCCAGACACCTCAGAAAGACGGTACAGTACATCGGATCAAAAGACACCTGGCAAAGTCCTAGGCACTACATGCAATACCCCCCCCCCCCCCCCCCCGCCAATACCATACGCAATGCCGTGCTCATGCAACCTCCATTAACTTAAACTCTACCCTTTCCCTCCCCCCCCCACCTCGATCACAACCCCTCACTCGCATACCCACCAATATTTCCTCCAGCGCTAAGTTTACATGTCAGACACAGAGCACGGTAAATACGATACGATATGGCACACTAACTTACCGAACTCCCAGGCGCCGTTCACCGAGAACCTATATATAAAGGAAGGGTCACTCTAGATCTCAATGGAGATGTCAGAGCGAAGGGTTGTCAACAACTCACAAGGCCTTTGATCAACCTTACCGTATAGTGGGGTAGAAAGGGAGAGAGAGACCGATCTGGATTCCCGGGCATCATACAACCAGTCAGCCTCCGCGGGGAGGAATATCGCGAGTCTGGTTTAGCTCTGCTGATCGCTGCGAACCTTGATCAATCGGCCTTTCCCAGCGATAAACGCTGTACAGTACTCACCCGGCGAGCAACATCAACTCTCGTGGGTTCTCGAGATACCGGTATGATATCATAGCCATGTCCGTGATTCCCGGCGTGATACAGTGTCGGCGGTATGCAATAAGTTGTGTACTCGTAGAGTAAGCTATTAATGGCTACAGACAAGCGTCGCGTGCTTGATTCCTCGTTTTTTCTTTCGATTCCCCCCCACCCGCCTACGGCTTGCACGACGCTGTGAGATTCGGTCCGTGAACAAAGCGCCAAACTCGGAGGAGATTCGGGCTGTTTTCTCTTTCTAGCACTTAGGGTGCCTACATTATTCTTATACCTGTTCTAATTTTCTCGAGTGGTATCTTTGGTTAGTAGCCATTAGCACGCCCATGACACGCCATCGGTCTGTTCCGAAACTGCGATTGCCCGGGTGTTAGACAGGTGTTGGAGGTTGGTCCATATCTTAGTAAACCTGATCAGACCCCTCAAGCTTGGGCGCGTTGATCGAAAGTACAGTACTAGAAGCATAGTAATCGTGTCTAACACTATACTCACGGGAGGCTAGCGTCGTGAAGGATAGAGATGGCGGAGACATGGAATGTTCAGAAGAAAGTTTTTGATTTCATTCCATAGTATGTGGAGGCTCAATCGGTGTTGCAAAGTTACTAGAGGAGAGTAAGCTTCACCATTAATAACAGGAATTCGTTATGAGAAAACACGGCGCAATATGTTCTAACAATGCCCATCCCCGCAAGAAGTGATGAAGAACAACCCTAGGTACAAAGTGATGGCAGTAGAAAGAAAAATGTGTTCGTTCGTCCCCTAGATCGGAGGAGAGGAGAGAAGATGCTCGATGATCAGACAAACAGCCAACCAATGGCCCATATATATAGACAATGCCTCCACCGGAGTAGAACCCCATACAAACACCACAACTAGGGTATAGCCCCATACAGATAACTCACTCCCTGACCTTCACACATGCCTCCAGACTAACGCCGTCACACACAGCCGCCTATACATCTACATGCTCTTGCATCTCTGCCTTTGTCCCACGGCAAGATTGTACTACCATCACAAAGGACCAATCGGCCGCTGTGAAGAGCCCGGGGGAGAGGAAGGTTGATAAGCACGGTCTCTTATATCCAGCCATCCCTCACGGCCCCCGAGCATCCAATCATATCGATAGGCTGCTAGCTCATGAATATAGCCTCCCATATCGCGAGACTGCGTTGCCAATCAAAGAGGATTTCATCGTCATCCCCAGGAGCGACATCAAGGAGCTCGCCCAGCCGAAACACCCCCCGTAGCGCTTTAGCGGCATCAATAAGGTCCTAGGTAGGTCAGCATGAACTTCTATGTCGGCCCCACGCAATAACTCACGACAAGACCGCCAGTAAAATCGGCCAACCTAGACACAGGGTCTCGTTTCCAGATCTCGATGAACCCGGTAATCCTCCCTGCCCAAACCAAGCCCTTGTAAACTGCTGGCCCATACGGGCCCTAGAGAGTGAATTCTTGAATGTCGACCTCGTCCATCTGGTCAAATTCCAGCCCAGAAAACTCTTCATCGCCTAGGTTTCGGGCCGGGTACCGGTAGCCTAGGCCCTCCTGCATCTTTACAAGCAGAACCACACCAACAGCCTTTTGGCCCTCGAGCCACATCCTAGCATCCTGAACCAGCATGTCGTATGTCTTCGCGATGCCAACCCCAAGGACAGACTTCACCTCAATTCCAGTAGCATCTTTGACTTTCAGCGTAGTACCTGGGACTCTCTCCGACCCCTTATACACACCTTTAAACAGTGTCCCCAACAGTCCGGTCCGTCTGTCTTTGGGGTAGGACAGGACGGATTACAGCCGGCAGTCCGTCTTTTCGGCAGTGCTAGGACGGACTACGGAGGACTGCCGTCCTGCTGCCCGAAATCCTATGAACAAAATGACCTTGTCAACCACAAGGTTTCAACCATTTCTGGGGTTCTTTGTGGTATAATACGTTGTTCCCCGTGGGCCCCCGCAGTCCCCGGAGTCCTCCTACAGTTCCCCGTAGTTCTCCGTGGTCCCTGGTAATCCCCCACCGTCCCCCTTACCAACAATGTTTCACCCCGTAGGGCCCGTCGTCATACCTAAAGACAGCCGTCCTCCACTTTCACCTCCTGAGACGGACTGCACATGGCCGTCCCATCCCGTCCAGGGCTCTTGGCAGTCCCCCGTGGGGCCCCGCCGGGCCCCCGGACGGTTGGGAACATTGACCTCAAAACCGAGGAAGTTTTCGTTTGCTACCGCTTTAATCCTGCCCCGAATTTCTCCTGGAAGACCAGGAGATACCGAACTAAGCCCTGTTAAGATTGTAGACACAACTGATTCATGTACAGGGTCAGGCATGCATTGGACCGTGAATGTCGAGGTTGACGGGTCATACGCATATCTCAGAAACCTGCTGCTATGAGTAAATGATTTAAAGAAGCACAGGTGAAGCGGCCTTGCATTTCATCTCTATCAACAGCAGAGCTCGCTTGAAATGGAGGAAATTCCTGATCGGGATTCGCATCGTGAGTCCCCCTTCGCTAACGGCCAGGGAACTAAATGCTCCCCGGTCCCTGAATACCAGTCCTTGAACCCCTGCATACACTCCCGACCGTGCTCCGAAATGGGTTGCTAAATAGTCGGAACCTTCTCCTCTCAAACTAAAGTTTTGTCCTACCAAGGGGGATATGGGGTCATAAGGGCCCGGGAAACAAAGGGGGCGGGTGCAGTGAGTTATGATCCCTGGGCTACCCTGGGGTGATCCGTCACCTGACGGAAGTAAATTTGTTGGAGCGGCGGGTGGAACTGAAAGCCATTATGGTCCCTGGTGATATGCGGCCGATAGGGTACTGTGGAGGCAAAGGTTTGTGGAAGTTTTTTTCTGTTTGTTTTTTTCCGTTTACCTTGAAATACCATGAGTGATGTATCCCGTATCATACCTGTTTGTTTTGCTGAGGGCTTTGCATGGTATTTAGGGTTCTTGTTGTGTGACTGGCCTTTTTAAGCAAAGGGGTGTGAAAGTATTTGCGAGGGACCTGTATGAACCTTTTCCTGTAAGTTCTCCCCCGCGAAACGAGATCGTGCG